ATTGGTTAAATTCAATTCAAGAACTCCCCAACCACCAAATTCCCTTGGACAACATATCATTGGCCAATTCACCCAATGGATACGTATCTTTTTTGTCTCACCGCTCCACAAGAATCTTGACATCACTGAGTTAAGTTTCTAAAAAACTTTACTCGGTATCCTGAACACTAATAGGAAAAAATAGGTAATGAAGACAATACAAATTTCAAAAGCACCAGTCTGCCAGCAATAGACAAGGAAGACGCTTTTTAGGTCGCCAACATTTTATGGAATTTTTGGATTACCAGTTCCCACAAAGATTCTGAGTTCTTCTTAGCTCCTAGCGGCAGTCCTAAATACTCCGTAGGGAACGAACCCATTGGGCATCCAATAGTCAAAGCCCAATCTTTAAGGATATCATTTTCCGCATTGATTCCATATAATTTACTTTTTGAGAGATTCAGATGCAATCCAACCACTAAGCTAAAAATTCTAAAGACTCTTTTAACGTTTTTAATTTGTCCATGTAAAGTACGACAGAAGATAATTAAATCGTCTGCAAACTGACGATGGGACAACTTAAAAGGATTTTCAGACCTATCTATGGAGTAATTCTCCAACTATATTGAACAATAAAGGAGAGAGGCTACAATTTTGTCTTATGCTCTTTTCCATCGGTCGTCAGTTTGCAGACGATTTAATTATCTTCTGTCGTGCTTCACTTGGACAAATTAAAAACGTTAAAAGAGGCTTGAGAATTTTTAGCTTAGTGGTTGGGTTGCATCTGAATCTCTCAAAAAGCAAATTATATGGAATCAACGCGGAAGATGATATCCTTAAAGATTGGGCTTTGACTATTGGATGATCAATGGGTTCGTTCCCTACTGAGTATTTAGGACTGCGGCTAGGAGCTAAGAAGAACTCAGAATTTGGTTGTGGATATTATTTTATTCTTGTCTAATTCTGTATTTTTCTGCAGATTGTCAATGCTACTTTGACAGTGGATCCATTAGTTGGTGTTGATAAATCGGTATATTTATGAGTCATACCTTACAAATCTCCACCTTGGCGAATATCTTGCCCCTTAGGAAACATTCAATGTGGGTTGGGTTACCTTAGTTCTTTAACAACTTGAAACATTCAATAAGTCTAAGCAATGCTTGAACTTGTTTATCGTAACTAGCTTGGTGAACATATCAGCGACATTCTCATCAGTGTGTACCTTCTGAAACAAAATCTCTTCAGATGCAACCAACTCTCTGATCTTGTGAAAACGTACATCAATGTGCTTAGTTATAGCACGATATACCTGATTCTTAGCTAAGTGAATAGCACTTTGATTGTCGCAAAGCAGCTGAACTCCACCTTGCTGAACACCCAACTCCTTCACTAAACCAGTGAGCCATAAAACTTCTTTTGCAGCTTCAGCCACTGCCATGTACTCAGCTTCAGTTGTAGATAGTGCCACTACAGATTGAACAGTAGACTTCCAACAAATAGGTCCTCCACCAAGAGTAAAAACATACCCTGTCGTAGATCTTCTATTATCCAAGTCACCTGCATAGTCTGAATCCACATATCCTACAACCAAAGGATTATCTCGTTGACTACCAAAAACAATTCCATGTCCCACAGTACCCTTTAAGTATCGAAAGATCCACTTGACTGCTTCCCAATGTTGCTTACCAGGTTTAGACATGTACTTACAAACTTGACTAACAGCATGAGCTAAATCAGGACGAGTACATACCATTGCATACATCAAGCAGCCAACAACATTAGAATACGGAACCTTTGCCATATCTTCAGCTTCCTTATCTGTCTTAGGGCACTGTTCTGATGAGAGCTTAAAGTGGTTCGCCAATGGAGTGCTAACTGGTTTTGCGCTGCTTATCGCAAACCTTTCTAGCATTTTTTCAATATAACCCCGTTGAGATAGCCACAGTCTCCTTGAGTCTCTGTCCCTGCAAATTTCCATTCCAAGAATTTTCTTTGCAGCACCTAAATCTTTCATATCAAATTCCTGACTCAATAAAGTTTTCAAACCGATAACATCATCCATGTTCTTCGCAGCAATCAAAATATCATCAACATACAGTAATAGAAAAAAAAAAAGAACCATCATCAAGGCTCTTAACATAGACACAACAATCATACTCACATCGGTTGTAGCCAATCTTGATCATATAGGAGTCAAACCGTTTATACCACTGTCTCGGAGACTGTTTCAACCCGTACAAATATTTCTTCAATCTGCAAACTAAATGCTCATTTCCAGGTTGAGTGAAACCTTCAGGTTGCCGCATGTAGATATGATCCTCTAAATCACCATGCAAAAAAGCAGTTTTAACATCCATCTGCTCTAAATGCAAATCCCAACTGGCCACCAATGCAAGTACTGCTCAGATTGAAGTGTGCCTGACCACAGGAGAAAAAATTTCATCATAATCAACTCCTTTCTGCTATGAAAAACCCTTTTCTACCAAACGAGCCTTGAACTTGAACTTCTCCCCCTCTTTTTCTTTTACTGCTGGTTTCTTCTTATACACCCATTTGCAACCAATCGGCTTTTTACCCTCAAGAAGGCGAACCAACTCCCATGTACGATTGTGATTCAAAGACTTCATCTCCTCAACCATGGCTGCCATCCACTTGTCGTTTTCCTGACTAGTAACAGCATCATGAAAATTAACCGGATCATCACTGCTAACAATAAGTGCAAAAGAGACCAAGTCTTCAAAACCCAATCTACTCGGAGGCTTTATATTCGTCCGTCTCACCCTATCTCTGGCAAGACTATAATCCTGCAAATCATTCGTAGTGGAACCACCAGAAGTCGGTTGAGAAGTTTCTAGTTTCTCAACTAGAAACTACTTGAAATCCACCACTGTCGTGTCTTTCTTCTGTTGCAACATGGATTGTTCATCAAAAACAACATCTCTACTGATCACAATTTTCTTCGCAACTGGATCCCAGAACTTGAATCCTTTGACACCTTTTTTGTAACCCATAAAAATGCACTCCTTCGATTTTCCATCAAGTTTGGATCTCTCATCAGCAGGTACATGCACATAAGCAGGACAACCAAAAATCCGTAAGTTATCAAAACTAACATCATGACCAGTTCATACCTCTTCTGCAACTTTCCCAGCCAATGATGCCCTTGGCGATCTATTGATAAGATAACACGCCATGTTAACAGCCTCGACCCAGAAGTGTTTGGGAAGCCCCACATTCAACTGCACACATTTGGCTCTTTCATTCAACGACCTGTTCATCCGTTCCGCAACACCATTCTGTTGTGGTGTCTTGCGTACTGTAAAATGTCTCTTAATCCCGTGCTCCTTACAGAAGTGTAAGAACTGTGAATCTGTGTACTCCATACCATTTTCAGACCGCAAACACTTGATTTTTTTTCCTGATTGGTTTTCTACCTCAGCTTTCCACAGCTTGAACTTCTCAAAAACTTCAGATTTCTGTTTCAAAAAATACACCCAAACTTTCCGTGAAAAATCATCAATAAAAGTAACATAATACCTAGATCCACCCAAAGACGATGTCGTGGAAGGCCCCCATACATCAGAATACACATAATCAAGAATCCCTTGAGTTGTGTGCCTCGCAGTCTTGAAACGGACTTTAGTCTGTTTACCAAGAACATGATACTTGCAAAAATCGAGCTTACAGCTTTTGACACCATGCAACAGATTTCTTTTGTGTAATTCTGTCATACCACGTTCACTAAGATGAGCAAGACGCATATGCCACAGTTTTGTAGTATCATCACAGGACTCAACAGAATGATCTCCACCTGCAACGGTACTCCATAACAATCTATAAATATTTCCTGCAGTCATCTTTCCTTTCATCACAGTCAAAGCACCTTTAACAATCCGAATGGTTTCCCTATCCTCATCAGCCTTTGGGATAAAACCATTCTTGTGCAAAGTTCCCAAAGAAATCAAATTCTTCTTCAAATCTGGGATATGTCGAACACCACTCAACGTCCGAACAGAGCCATCATACATCTTAATTCTGACATCACCAATACCAACAATATTGCAACATCGATCATCACCCAAATAAACAGAACCAGAATTAACCGACCTGTATGTCGAAAACCATTCCCTATTTGGCGTGATGTGATAAGAACATCCAGAATCAAGAATCCACGCATTCGTCAATTGAGTCGTTGAAATAGAAAGCATATCACCCTCACTGCAATCAGAATTGTCATCCTCGACCACGTTCACAGACTTAGATGAAACATCACGCTTCTCATCAGTCTGCTTTTTCAACTTCGGACAGTCTCGCTTCATATGTCCCACCTCATTGCACTTGTAACAGTGAATTGTCTTCTTATCCCTAGATTTGGATCTGGAATTCCGCTTGCCAGACCCTGCCTTCTCTGGCTTCCGTCCACGGTCTCGATTACCCTTGACATATAAACTATCGACTTGAGAGTTTTCCCCTGCATTCTGCTTCCGCTGATTGTGAGCCAACAAGGCTGCAGTAATCTCCTCAATGTTGATAGTCTCTTTCCCATATGTAAGAGTAGTCACCATGTGTTCGTAAGAGGGAGGCAACGAACACAACAAAATCATCGCTCTGTCTTCATCCTCAATTTTTACATCAAGCCGAGCCAAATCAGAAACGATTTGATTGAAGACATTCACGTGTTGCGCCAAATCATGATCGTCCTGCATCTTCAGCCCATACAGCCGCTGCTTTAGATACAGTTTTGTTGTTAAGGATTTGGACATAAACTGACTTTCCAACTTCCTTCAAATTTCATCTGGAGATGATAGATGCATGACGTGATACATAACCTCGTCCGCCAAGCATAATCGTATGGTTCCTGCCACTCGTTGTTGCAATTCTTCCCAATCTTCCTCCTCCATCGACGCCGGCTTTGTAGGTCGCAAAGCCTTCAGGATCCCCTGCTGCGCCAACAGATCCTTCACCCTCGTTTGCCATAATCTGAAGTTACCCAGACCATCGAATTTCGCGACTTCGAATTCTGCTCTTGGCATATGGGTACAAACGAAGCAAAGACAGAAACCTGCAACTTCAAACAGTCAGAAGGATTCACTTCTGATGCTGATGCTAAAAGGATAGCAAGAGATACAACTTGGCTTTCAAATGGGTCATCTAACGATCTCCAAAAATGTGACACCACAGTTTCTTGGTTAAACCCTTGGCAGTTTGCACAACAATCATTGGATACAAGTCTTTGTTATTGTCACCCATTACGACACACTGCCATTGTTGCTATTGAAGCATCTGCTGCCAGGGACCGACACAGTGAAAAGTTGTATGAAGTTGATTCTACTCCTCCTTCAAGTTCTCCAGCGAAGAGACAAAGGGTCACCACCCTTGAAAATGTGAGTTAACTTTCTTCTACTTCTATTGAATATTCATCCTGGTGATCCATATAACAGAGGTTAAGGTGGGGGCATATCCTCCCAATTTTGTTTCATAATTCTACTGGAAGCATCATTTTTTCCCTACGAAGAAAATACGTTATGGTTTTGCTAGTTTTCTTTTAGATTTAAAATGACGCTGATTGCCACGGTTATGTGTTTGCCACTTTAGAAGAAAGACAACTGGATAGCTGTATGTCTAATTGCAGATTTGCAGTATTAGGTAGGTTTTAACAAATATTATACAAATAGGGTTTTTCTAAATAATAACTTCTTGATCATTAATAGCAATTTGTCAAATGTGTAATAAGTTTAGTTTGTTTTTTGAAAGGTTTATTTTTACCGTTTAAATAAGAATACTATGTGAAATAAAAATCTGTACAGAACAAGGCAAATTCGAAGGCATGTCTAACAATCCTATTTTAGGTAAAAAAAATGGTAGGAAACAGGATGCAAATACCAATGGTTCAAACTCCTTAGACAGGCCTTATCTGTGTACCGGCTATGACATCTATCTTGTCTGGGAACCTTGTACAATGTAAGTTAGCAAACCTTATCTCTTTACCTGTTTACATTTTTTGAAGACGAAAAAAGTTGTAGATTTAATATATTGGGTGTAGCTAATTTAATCTAGTTTGAGAATGAGATTAGGAATATTTAATTTCAAATGTCAAACCTTGTAAATTTCTATTGATGGATGAGATTTGCTTGTTTGTATCTCTAGTAAAAAGCACAACGGTTTTGATCAGGGACATGCTCTTGCTTATATTACAAGCTGTTTTCTCAAAGAGGGCATGCTTGTTGGTTAAGCATTGAGAACTACCTTCCGTATATTGTGTCTTCTGAATTTTATATATCATATTTTCATGAATCTCTACCAAATACTCGTCTTTAGAAATTGAAATTTATGTTTCTCTAACTCATCATTTTTCAAGTATCCATGTTCAACACGTGTCTGACACAATTTTGGACATGGTTATGGGAATATGACCTTTCAAGGACTTTCCAAATAATGGAAAAACTTAGAAACACGTACATCATGTCATATCAGGCGCATACCAGTATTTGCCAATTTGGCACACACAGAACTCCGAGTACCGTAGGTTGTGATGAAGATGGTACCTAAGTTAAGATAGAATTGTTCCTCTTGAGCCTCTTTGGTTAAGGCTTCATTGGTGTATTGCCAATTAGCGGCTATGACTATACTTTTAATTTTGGCTGTAAAGATTGTGAAAGGAAGAAAGAAAAGATTTTTGCTTATCTTTACTGCTCGCTTCTTCCGTTTAGAAGTGATCTGATACATTTGGTTTTGCATTTTGAAGGTGTGCTATGGCTCTTGTTCACCAGAGGATTAGGCGCATATCTTATGCGTTACCGAATCCTGAAGCTGGTGCATTGGTAAGTGTTCATAGGTTACAGGGTGAGAAAAGCTTAAACCATCACTACGCAGTTTTCAGGGTTGTCATGCCTGAACTTGATTTTCCAGAAGAAAGTTCTTTTGATATTTCCTACCGTTTTCATTTGTTCACATTTTCCAGAAAATCTTTTATTATAAAATATGTAATGTGAAATGATATTTGAACTGTAAGTCTAACCGTAGTTGGGCGATGATAATGAGTTGATCCCAATTCAATTTTATTGCAAGGTAAACTATACCATATACCACTTAACTTTGGACGATGCATCGTTTATATCACTGAATTTTCAATTTCTTTAATTATAACATTGAACTTTAGTTATTGTTTCAATTATACCATTGGGATGGATGATGGTTGACCAAAGTGATGTCATTCTTTTTTCAACCAATCCAACCCCATGAAACCCCTCGTACTCTCCCCCGTTGTCTTCTCCTTCTCTGCTCCAAGCCTACCCTCACGTCGCCACCCTCACTGCCCATTTTGTTGGGGCGGCGTCTCTCCTGTCGTTTCCGACAAATCGCCTCGTCGTTTCCAACTCTCTCACGCTTAAGGCTTTGATTTCTTTGATACACTCTCCTCGAAATGCCGTGGCCATGGCTGCCTGCTATGCCCTTTTGGATTTATGTTCTACTTGTCTTGGGAGACAACAATGATAAGCAAAGTATGAAATGTAAGATTGGAGTTAGGGTACACAAAAAATCCGAATATCCGATTTTGCGAAAAAAATATCCGAAACCGGATTTGGGAAAAACCGGTTTTTTTTAACCAGATCGGATTTTTTTAAACCGGTTATTTTAACCGGTTTGGAGAAAAAAAACCTAGACCGGTTTTTTTACCGGATAAAAAACCAGTTTGAAAAAAACCGGTTAAAAAACCGGTTTTTATCCGGAAAAAAAACCGGTCTGAGTTTAAAAAACTAGCCGTTAATATAGCCGTTGGAGGGGTTTTGTGACCGTTTTTGACCCTTTTTTCTTTAAAAAATTACAATTTACCACCCCCTAAACATGTATAAATAGGTTGGGGATGTATTTGGTTGATTACAACTTTCTCAAATCTTATTACACAACACCTAAACATCTCTCAAATCTTATTTTTGTATTTTTTTGTTCATCATGAGTAACACGGCTGAATCTTCCGTCGGAGGAAACCTTGAAGTCGTGAGAGTGATCGAACACACTCGAAACAAAGATATTTGGGATCACTACGATTTATGTGAGATGTCAAATGGCTCGAGGAGGGCGCGTTGTAAACTTTGTCTAAAGTTTCTTGCATCGGAAGGAAACACAACGTTGAAGAACCATTTGACAAAATCATGCAAGGCACTTCGCTCAAGATCGGATCCTAGTCAATCGAATCTTACACCGCAAGGTGGTGTTTTTGTTTACGACAACGAAAAATTACGAGAAGCGTTTACAAAGTTCGTGATTACAAAAGCATTGTCGTTCGACCACTTTGATGATGAAGATTTCACGACAACAATTCAACAACTAATGCAACCACGTTATACTCAAGTAAGTCGTACTACCCTTAGAAGAGATGCTATAAAAATGTGGCGTACGGCGAGGGAAAAAATGATTTTAGGATTCCAAGAACACCGTTATGGTGTGTCGCTTACATGTGACGTTTGGAGTTCCCCTCATAATACCGGAAATTCTTTTTTAGCCGTTACGTCACATTGGTTAGATCAAGATAATTGGAAAATGATGAAAAGAACAATCTTGTTTGAATTATTCGGTGAGCCGCATACCGGTGCTAATTTATTTACACTTTTAAAAAGGGTAATTTGTCTTTATAAATTAGAAAATAAAGTTTTTTCTATATCCTTTGATAATGCATCGAATAATACAAACGCGGTTCCAAGATTGAAAATATTACTTTCACTGATTTTAGACGGTGCGTTTTTTCATACCCGTTGCGTTGCACACATAATTAATTTATCCGTGCAAGCCGATTTGGAGGTTATTGAGCTGATTAGATTAAAATTTAAAACAATGATAAAATCGGTTCTTTGTAACAACAACAAAAGACTAAATGATTATAAACGATTTTGTAAGTCCGTTAATAAAAAAGCTTTGGGTCCTAATTTGGATTGTCCAACTCGTTGGAACTCAACTTGGATGATGATGCATACTGCCTTAAGGCAAAGGGAAACATTGCAAACATTTCATGATCGGCTTTTCGAGAGGAGACATGTCCCAAACATTTATCCGGATTCGAGTTGGGAAACTATAGCCAAAATAACCGATTTGCTTGGGGTTTTTAAAAATGCAACAACTTTTTTATCCGGTGTTTATTACCCTACTAGCCCGTTGGTTCTTAATCAAATATTTTTGTTGGCTACCCGACTAAATGACTTTGAATTTGAAACCGAAGTTTTTCAAGAAATTGGATTTGCAATGAAGGAAAAACTTTTAAAATATTTTAAGGAGATTCCCCCCATTTTTACTTGTGCCGCCGCTTTAAACCCAACGTTAAATGTTGGCGGGGTTGAAACACTAATTGAACAAATTGCGTTTGCTTTTAATCTAACCGATGATGAACCCAACTTTGTCCAAAACCAAATAAATTATTTTAACAAATATTTTCAAGACATGTTTGCAATTTATTTAACTAAATACGGATCAAGTAGTGTAATACACGATCAAATGAGAATGAATGCGGAATCATCTAGTAGACGTCCAAGTAACATAAATTTGAATCTTTTTAACACTCTTGTAAATTCCCAATCCAAATGATCACGTACTACCACCCCAAGTAGCGAGTTGGGAAATTACATGTCATGCGATTTTCTATCAAAAATGACATTTGAAGAGTTTGAAAGTTTGGATATTTTGGCTTGGTGGAAAGAAAAGGAAGCACAATTTCCGATTCTAACCGCCATGGCCTGTGATTTACTAACCGTCCAAGCTTCTACGGTAGCTTCGGAATCCGCTTTTTCTGTTAGTGGCAGGGTTATATCGCAACGGAGATCAAGACTAAGTCCCGAGTCGGTGGAAGTATGCATTTGTTTAAAGGATTATTTGGATGGAGCGGCTCGTAAGCAACATATCACCACCCTAGAAGATGCAATTGATGCCGATTTGGAAGCAAACTTACACATTGAAGAAGTCGAACTTGGAATATCCCCTCCAAACGAAGAAGGTGAAGATGATGAAGAGGAGATGGCAATGTAGTTTATTTTTAAACTTTATTTCAATTATCGTAAACTTTGTTTCAATTATCGAACTTGAAGTTTTTAAGTATTTGAATTTATCGAACTTGTAAGTTTTTAAGTATTTGAATTTATCAAACTTGGAAGTATTTAAGTATTTCAATTATGTTGAGTTAATCGATCGACGGAATCGGCCAAGAGGGGGGTGAATTGGCAATTAAAATTTCGGTGGAAGCTTTTGCCGAAAATTGAAAAGATTTGCACAACGATTTAGAGTGGTTCGACTTTCTCAATCAAAGTCTACGTTACTACCTTAGCTATCCACACTAAGGATTTTCCACAAATTCACTAATTTGTCTTTCTTTTGAGGACAAAGAGTAACCTTACAAACCCTCAAGAATTATACCCCAAATTCTTGAGAAAACTCTCTCCCAAAGAGAACAATACAAATTTGTAAACTTACAAGGAAATCCTCACAAGGTAGATTGTTTGCACAATTCTAGAACAAAGAAAAGAACACTCAAAGATTAATACAATTGAGCACAATATGTGTTCTTGAAAGCAAAATGAATATTGAATGAAAATAGGCTTGAAATGCTCAAACTTGAGGTTTGATGCTTTCTATTTGATTCTCTCTTGATTCTAGTTGCTTGATGTTTCTTGTCTTTGATCAATGGCTTCTAAGCTTGCTTAAATACACCTTCAATCACTTCTGAACGTTAGGGATAATTAATGAAGATAATATAGCCATTTAAGTGTGAAAACATTTAATAAAAATGCTTGGAGCGTGGGGGGAATCGGTACCCTCTCATAGGGAATCAATTCCCTAAGTGTAAAATTCAAATATTTCGACCGTTGAATAGGGGGGAATCGGTACCTCCTATGGGGGAATCGGTTCCCTCCGAGCATTCTGGAAATCTTGGAGCCAAACCATTCAGGGGGGAATTGGTACCCCCTTGGGGGGGAATCGGTTCCCTCTGAGCAATCTGGAATTTTTGGCTTTGAAATGGTTCGAAATACTTTGAAAAATTATTTTGAAATTGTTTTAAGATTAAAACTTAATTTTACACTTAAGTAAGGATTAAAAATGATTTTTGAAATATTTGGAGTAATGTTTTGATATTCGAATAATTATATCGAATATACTTAGAAAATCATTTAGAAAATCATTTGGAAAATCTTAAAATTCATTTAACTTAATTTGTTATATCGAAATATCAAAATGTTTTCAACAAATTATCGTAAACTTTGTTGCAATTGATGACGATGTAATTTTAATAATATTAAAATCGGTTTTTTTATAACCGGTTTTTTAAAAAAACCGGTTTTTTTAAAACCGAAACCGGTTACACCGGTTAGGATATCCGGCCCTCCAAACCGGTTAGAAATCGAACCGGTTATTTTATAAACCGGTTTTTTTTCTATGGGAAAAAACCGGATCGGATAAAAACTGATCCGGATCGGATTGAAATCTGACTTCTGTGCAACCCTAATTGGAGTGATCAGAACATGAAATAGACAAAATTTGGACATACAATGTTTGGACTTAGTTTCTTTCATTTCTATCAGAGTATAATTATTACAAAACAAATTAACTATTTCCCCCAAAAACCTTATGGTTTTCGCATTCATGTTTCAAGCGGCATGTTTTATCAGTAAGTTAGAGGAACCCAATTACTAATTTGTTGTCATAGCTAGGCTATATATATTTGCATATATTGCTCGTAGGTTTGTTTAAAATTATATCTTGAGATGCTTAATCGTTGCCAGGTTAGCTTTCCTTGAGGTTCAAAGATCATCAATGCTGATCTCTTTAAACACATGCAACATTGAGCAATTAAGAAAGATCCCAGATAACAGTGACAAATTCATAAATATTTTTGAAAGTGCACACTTATATTAACAACACAATCTTTAATAAATCTTTGATTATAAATTTATATGTTTACAAATTAAATCTCAAAGTGGACACAATTAGTAAACTAAATAACTAACAAAAGTAGATTCAAAGTGGACCAACAGTGAGGGCAAACTATCTGAATGTTTTTCTGCCTGTTTGAAAGAAGTATGGAGAGATGCTCAACCAAAGAAAATGTTAAACGGTGATATATTAGGAGCTGGTAGTTGTTGTGTCTTCGCAATCAGGCACAAATAGCTGGCTTCATCTGTGCCAAAGAACACAACTTTCTGCAATTTGATCGACAAAATTAGCAGTGAGTCGAGGTTCTGGGATGCATTGAAGAGCATGAAAGTAGCTATTGAGAGAAATGAAGAACCGTTTCAGCGGATGAGATGGTTGCAACATCTGATTCGAGAAAGGGAAAACATCGAAGGACATGATTGGGATCGGGATTTAGGATCCACAGGGATAAAAGATATATCTGCTGTATATGTCGAACACAAAGGGATGGCGGAAAGATATATCTGCTGTATTGTACGACGATGTTACTGCAAACTATAAGATGTTCCATGAAAAGTATAAGGACGTTAGAAAGCAGTATATGGACGGAATGTTGTCTCTACAGGATTGCATCTACGTCTTGAAAGATTTTCTCAATTCAATTTGTTTCATTCACAATATTAGAATTCAAATTCTAAATCTTGTTACATTTCTAAGCTTCATTGCATCGCTTACATGAGAAATTACGGTAGAAAATAAGTAAATAAAAATTCTATGGCATAGGATGTTTGGGGGTTGGAGTTGGATGAGTAGCGACCCCATAGTAATCTATGTGGTAATTAACGATCTGATCATCATCGTCGTCGTCGTCATCATCATCATTCATATGCTCTTCCCATGATGACTCTTCAAGTACCACCTGTAGGGGTGTTTATTGGATTAAAACGGTGGCCGACCGAACCGAAATACCTTTAACCGAATTAACCGAATTTTTTTTTCTTTAACCGTTAACCGAACTGAACTCTTTTATGAAAGTATTAACCGAACTGAAAAAATTTCGGTTAACTCGGTTAATTTCGAAATAACCGAATTTTTTTAGAATTTTTGAATTTAATATTTTTTAATTAAAAAACAAATTACAATATCTAATTAATTAAAATTGATTTGGGTTTTAAATGAGTTTTAAATGGATTGGGGGTTGGTTGGGGTATTGGGCCGGCTAATGGGATGAGTTATATAATTATATATTTATATTTAAAGGTTAATTCGGTTAATTAACCGATTTCGAATTGAATTAACCGTTAACCGAATATCAAAAAACTCGTTAACCGTTCTCCGACCGAACTAGTTTGGTGACCGACCGAATTAATTTGATTCGGTCGATTAATTCGGTTAAAACCGAATTTTGAACACCCCTAACCACCTGCATGCAGATCATGATCAATTCCCTTAACTGTTTCGGGGAAAAAAACTAATTTGCCATCCTCAACATCTTATTATGTTACCTTTGGTTTGGGATACATGTTATGAGGCAATGCCATCTCTAGTGATCTCCTTCCTGCAAGTAAAATCGAAGAAGAAGGTAGATAAAAAGCAGCTGTGAAGAGGCATAATAAGATGAAATGTGCAGGCTTAGTCTTCATTGTTTGTATTGCAGAAATAATTGCCTTTCTCTGTCTCTATATCTCTCTGTGGAAATGAGTTAATACTTACAGAGTAGGAGGAAGATTGTTAAAATGCAATTGAATTGACGTTTGATAATTATTGTTGGAGAGTTTAGGAGGGGCGAAGCATGTGTTAGCCCCATGCCCATCATTTGCTGTTGCTTCCAACACTCACAAGCAGGGATGCAAGTGTACCCTAATATTTTTAAGTTTCATATAATTTAACTATTTTTTTTATATTTTCTATCAATGATCGCACCCTAAATTTTATAATCCGTTCTCTTAACATAAAATAATGTATCAGTCCTTACTCACCGGGAATTCAAAGTTTCAAAACTTGGAGACCCACCAACCCAAATCTCATCCATCGCCGTCTGTCTTCGATTTCTTGCTTATATGTTAATCCAAGAACGCTTGTGTTGAACATGGTTATTATGAGAAGAGTAAAAAAAAAACAGTGAAAGGAGGGATAAAGGACCAATAGGGTGAAATGGAGCAGAAACGAAAAGAAATGAGTTTCACGTGAAACAAAACAACTCACCCTTTCCTTCGAATTATTAATCCATGCTTTGCCTTCACCAATAATGACTAAAATCTCCTGTGGGAATCCCTTTACATTTTCTTTAGTTCATATATGAAAATCTCCAATCCTTCCCATCATTATCCATTAATCAAGTAGAGTTTTACCTTTATCTTTTTATTATACTTCAATTAAAATACAATACTACAAGTCTAAAACGAAGAAATATCATTTTGAACACTTTCTTCTGACAATTTTCTTTTAATATGTTGAATAAGTCTTTTTATTTTTATTTTCTATTGATAATTTAATTTCACATATTCTGAAAATTAACTAAATTCAAGCAATTGGTTTTACTCAGAGAGAACTAGGCCTGCAAATGTACCATGCTTGAAGAAACCAACCCTCTAGTCAATGTCATTTACTTCTTAATTTGTTTGTGTTCGATGTTTTGAATTGAATTTTAATAGAACTAACTGTTTCAAACCTTAAAACTAAACAAACATATTCACGAATATGTTTACGAACACACGATGTTTGAGTTTAAATCAATTCATAAACAAACCTTAAAATCTTGTTCATGATAAACACACCATTGAAATAAATTGCTCAACCATTAGTTTTCCTAATGTAATCTGCACATCCGGATGCATGCAAGATCACAAACAATACTCAACACGGAACTCCATAAACCACATTCTTTATCCATGGATTAAGCTTCCAGAAATCACTTATATACAACAAAGTATTATCAAGTTAGAAACATATGTAATTGCAGTTTCAGTCAATGTATCATGTAAAAGAAATATACAAAGTTACAACAACAATCAGAACTGCCCAACTTCTGAAAGTGAATGATGTTGTTTCCTTGGGCTTGAAGGAACACTCCCGAACTTGGGGACGACAACCTTGAAAATTGGCAAAAATATCATGTAGAGTATGGCCAAAATAATGGGTGCCGCAACAAGCCATCCCAACAACTGCAGCAATTTCCATAAGATGATTTTCAAATTTAATTTCATATTGATAAGACAAGTTTCAATTAATGAACAATTACATAGTCCCAAATGCCATCTTCTGATAAAATTCCATCACCTTAAGCATATAGGGGTCCTTTCCACTTCAAACTATACTATTGTCAAGTTGAAGAACAGAGCAGTTAGTTTAAAACTACAGTAAAAAAGAATGGAGGGAATGTATTATACTCTGGGATAAGTTGTCTATAGGTTCATAGTTTTTGGACTCTTCAGCATTAAAGCTGATGTCACGGTGGAGATAAGAGATATGGCAGAAATGATAGAATACCGTGGAGAACTACATCTGTTTGAATGCAGAGTATGTGGAAGGAAATGAATGAACATCCTTTCTAAAGATGGGAAACCGCCTAAGCATAAACTTAAAATAATGCTCTCATGAGAAGATTCTTTACAATCAATATCTAATAGATTCCTTTCTTCAAAGTTTCCTCTCTTTCTCTCTCTAGAATTCCAAATCATAAAGTTTTTCAGTTTTCCTTGTACAACTTGTCCACATAGAATAAACCTTTGCATTATTTATTAGTATATCTTCATAACAATATTTATATCATCTTTATGAGATTAATGACACATTTGTAACATGAACTATGAGTCTATGATCCATTATTCAATTTGGTACCTAAAGTTTGAAAATTGGCAATTAGATACACAATCTTTGCCTCGGTTAAATAGCTTGCACCTTAAGATAAATCTGCTAATCAAGATGTAGCAAAGAACAGCTGATATGAGGGTGCCACAAGTCTATCTCCTATTTATAGTTCTTACCATGTGCCCCCGTTTGTATAACAGAGTTTGCAAGGTGTTCAGTCTAAAGGGAATCAAAGTTGAAGTACTTAATTGCAAAGTTATTTTCTTCAGATATCAAATTGGCAATTTCACTATAATTCAAGTAGCAACTATGTAAGTGACCCTTTTTTATATTATGCAGGGAGAGGAAATCATTGACAGCAACCATGATTTGCAGCAGCTCAGCTGCATATTATGAAACCTCAAAAAACATATATCATGCTAAGCTGTCGGCCAAGAATCAGCAGTAAACTTTTTTAAAAAAACATGTAGTCAATTTGCTGGAAGATCAAGTATGATTAACATGTTTATGTTCAGGATTAGCTCCAGCATAAAATGAATAACGGAACTCATGTTCAAAAAATAGGTTCAGTCTTTCATAGAGTTTTACCAATCCCCTATATCCACAGGATAACATTAGACAAGGGAGATTTACCAAGTGGAAAAATACAATTTAATTGTACATTCATACAATATCATGCAATCTATAATGTTGGATAGGAACATACTAGCCACATTAAAAAGTAGAAGAAAACTGTTTTTCTTTTCAATTTTCATCTTTAAAGTTCTTACATAGAAATGAACAAGTATGACAAGCTCGCTCATCTCTATTTGTAGATGATGTTATGATACATGCCCCATAGATGATAGTATTTGATTTTCTGTCAACGTGATCAGAGAAAGATGAAGACATACTAAAATATGTCTGCAAGCAAATTTCCACTCAAACAAGTTGCAAAAGAAAAAATCAATTTTCACATAGAAACGCACATGCTTCTTACCTGATTGTTGAAAATACAGGCAGATATAGATGAAAACATATTAAAATGTTAAGGTAACGTCGAGCAAAAAACTCAACAAGTTCAGATGACTAATTGATTCAACACTAGTTCATGATTACTACTATCACCCAAACACCATCGGAATACAGTAGGATTCCTGGGGAGATCCTCCTATCACCAAAATTTCAAGCTTCTAAGTTCAATTTGATTCAATTAACAGTTTAATAATCCAATCCTATCCAAATTGGCATCTCTATCTACCATAATATGAAAACCGAACCTATAAGATGAAATCAAATAAAGTGCAAGGAGGAACAAGCATGTGAGCAAAAGACAAGTTGAACAAGGTAGGAATAGAAATGGATACTTACAGCACGGGCAATACTAAAAGGAGTTCACTCGAAGCTTGGCCAGTCAAAACTTTCTTCAAAGAACCAGAAGTTAAGGGGAAATGAGGTCCACCAGATAACACTTCACCAAAGCGAAGGAAGGGCACCACCAGACTAGACGACAACGTAGATCCAACCACAGATAAAACAAAGTAAAATGAAGGTAAAATAGCAATCCGAAAATGGAGGGAAAAGGCTAAAAAATAGAATGAAAACAGAAGAAGAAATCACCTCAACTCGATCGGAGTAGCCAAGAAGTTAGCAAGCATGACAGTTGGAGAGTGGCAGTGAGATCCCAACAACGCGATTGCCATCCCACAAAGCAAAACTGTAACCCCTGCAGTATTTTTCATTTTTTTTTCTTCAGGTTATATTATAAATCAATCAAAAGAAACGCAAAGAAAAAAAAAATATCTTTATTACCGCATATCGGGAAAATTCCCAAAGTAATTCCCAGCGCTGCAGAGAAGGCCAACAGCCTGGGTTCTGCTCCCCTGTAAGAGGAAACCAATCAGAGTTATAGATAAAATATATGAAAGAAATTTGGAGCTGTAGCTTACTTTAGGAGGATCTGGAGAAGAGGATCCACGATATTTTTGTTGAACCAAACCTTCATCGCCATAATGATAGAAAAACTGGGATTTTTATTGGATTTTTGCCAAAATTGCTTCTCTCCTATACCTGATTAGAGACAGATTAACAATTTTATTTATTTTAATTCTTCAAATAATATTAATTTCAGAGGAGGAAAATAAATACCAGAAAATAGGTAGCAGAAGAGAGCAATGAACAAACCGTTCCCCGCGCCCCCCCCCCCCCTTTTATATATGAGAGAGGCGCTTGTGATGTGAGTGCAGTGCGAATACTTTATTTATTTATATAAATTTCATATTATTTTCTCATATTATAATTTAATTCAAGATGTTTAATTTACCACGTTTATGCAATCCAGTCATACTTTTTTGGTTTATCATGTTTTAATTAACTTTATCCCGTGTATTATTGTTTTTTATTCATATGATTAAATAGTATCGAAAAATGTCGTGGCACAAGTCAATTTATTCATTATATTTTTTTCATACTTGTTTATAACTTAAATTACATGTTTAATATCCGATCATTTTATTTCTTTTTAATACATAAATTTTCATTTGTTTTAAAACATATTTAATGTTTACTTTTTGTTTCATTTTAGTATATTGTCGATAAAACTTAGCGAAAATGTTACAACATGATACATCTTTATGAATAAATTACATCATTTATCACTCAGCTATCTTCTCACTCATTTTGGTCACTGAATTTTTTTTAATTTAATTACTTAACTTTCAAATTACTCCTAATTTAATCACTTCATCTTTTCAAATTTAATTTTTTTATTTTAATTATACATTTATAAAAAAAATCATGTCACAAAAATTATTAATAAAATAAATTAAAGTGATTAAAAATATGAACAATTTAAAAGTTGAATGGTTAAATTGAAAACTTTTAAATTTTAGTAACCAAAATTAGAGTGAGAAAATATTTAAGTGATGAATGATAAAACTCACCCACAAAGTACTAAAATGAAACAAAAAATAAACATTAAGCATGACTTCGAAACAAATGAAATTTTAAGTACTAAAACAAAACAAGAAATCTTAGGTACAAAAAGAAAACAAAACTGATAATTTACTCTTGTTTCTAATGCACGTGCATTTACGATTTTCTAATATTTCGATTATGTAAATTTTTATATTAATTTATTGTGTTATTGTTGCTTTTCATGTTCGTTATAGTTAAAATATGGAATGTCGAGTAAAATCTTTTTATTAAACACAAATCTTAACCGTTGATAAAATTTTAATTTGATTAATGGTTTCTAATGCCCCTGAATTCTTTCGAGGATAAGTGTCTTGTACAGATTACTTATAAGATGGAAAGTTTGAAAAGAAGGCAAATCAACAAGCAAGGGCAGATGCACTGAAAGCAAGCAACTGCCCAGCAATATCATATAGATGGACACTCAAAACAGAGTTGAAATTCAATAAAGTCGAGTGTTATTAGTTTACGCCATGTACAGAAATATCATCAAATACTCGGAAAAAGAAGAATTGTTATCGTGTTAAAGAAAAACCTTCTTCAAGGCATTGTGTTCTTTTATCTTGCATGGTACCTTGAAGTAAAGCAGGGTTGCTAGTAACAATGGCGTCCGCACGCACATGCAACATCCTCATCATGGAATCCGCATCATCAACTGTCCAGGCATATACCTTCTTCTCTCTCCTGTTGAAGACCATAACAGATAGAGCAACGGATCACAATTTGCATAACTGAATACACATCAATTACATCAATGATCGCAACTCAAATTGAGTTTCATACCTGTCGTTACTGGTTTTTGTCCGGGCACGAAATATTTATTTGGCGAGAAAATTAATGTGAATAAATGGTTTTGAAAATAATTTGGGAGTCGCCATCAGCCTTTTGGGTCAGGTAGGTCGAATATCTAAAAATTATTTTTTAAAAGAGTTTTAAGAAAACATCAAATAAAAATGAACTGATCTGCGTTTATAACCAAAAATTCGTTCTTTTTAATAATAAAAAGGGATTCGTGGTCGGTTACGTTTAGGGAATGATTAACACCCCTACAACGCCCAAAATTGGTACTTTTTAATTATAAATTGTCTCTATAAAAAAATTCAAAATATATTTAATTTATAATCCTATTATTTTGAAATTATATAAAAAATATTTATTTATTTAAAAATATCGGAAAAGAACTTCTAGGTGCCTTAAGACAGCTCTTTTCTTTGATATTAATAAATATTAATTTACATAAAATTAAATAATATTCTTTATAATATTTAATTTTAAAATACCAGAATAGGACATCCAGTTGTATTAAGACTGCCCTTTTCTTCGATATTGAAAAATAAATGTTAAAATAATTTATTTAAAAAAAAATATTTATTTATTATATATATATATTTATGAATACATAATAATAATAAAAATATTTAAATATATAAACAAGTAAAATTAAAATAATAAAAATACAATTAGAACTATATATTTAAAAGCAATAAAATAAATAAAAATATTTAAAATTATTGACTAAATTATAGTAAATTAAAAACCTAATTCAATATTAACCAAAATTATAGGGATTAAACATGCTATTTTCTTATTTATTAATCTAGTGACTAAAATGGAATGTTACAAAATTAAGATGGCTGCAAAAAGGGTTTAGCCAAAAGGAAATTACGGATATACCCCTCCCCTAAACGGCGTCGTTTGGGAAGGGGTATATATCCCTTCAACTGGCTGGCCCAAAGGGCCAGCATCTTCACTTTGTTCCTTTCTCTTCTCTCTCTAACTGAGAGAGAAGAATTCTCTCGCCTCTCTCTAGCTTCCCTCATCGGAGGGAAGCCGGTCGTCGGCCGGCAGCCGTCTGCCGCCGTAATCCACACCGCCGGCCACCGCATCCGGTGGCCGGAAAAATTTTTTTTTACACCTAAACGTAGATCGGACCATCCTATTGATGGTTCTGATGGCCGTTTCCCTTAAAACATTCCCTATTGGAGCAAATCTACAAATATACCTTCGTTTTTCGAAGGTTTCCGATGACTCGTGAAGGTTCCGGTGATGCTGCAGCTTCCTCGGTAAGTATTTCTCCGTCTTATCTTTGCTTATTTTGACGTTTGGAGTTGCTGGTTTGATCGCTCTTTTCTTTCCTTGTTGTTTCTTTTCTTTTCTTTTTTTCCGTTTGTTGTCGTGGTCTCTTCTTTGCAGGTTGGGTGATGGCTTTATAGCCATCATCGGCGCTCGTCTCGGACCGGTCCGAAGGGTGGAGTTCGGTGAGTCACCGGACTCCCAGTGGTGACTCACCGTTGGGATGACATGTGTGCGGCTGGAGTGGCGGCGAGGTTGAAGCAGCGCCGCGTGGTCTTCTGGAATCTACGGCGGCGCTGGGACGTGTCCCTAGGGTATTGATACCCTAGGGTTTCCTCTGGCAAACTGTGGACCGTTGGATCAAACCAGATCCAACGGCTGAAATTGAAGATGGCGGCTGAGGAATTAGAAAACCCTAATCTGTTAGGGTTTGTTATGGGCTCATTGGTCTGGGCCACCAAGTTTGTAATTGGGCTTTCATTTGGGTTTTGTAATATTAATAAATAATATATATTAATAATAATAATAATTATTATAATAATAATAATAATTATAATAATAATAATATAAATAACGTTTAAATGAAAAAAAAATGAATATCTTCAACTGCCCCTCTTTGCTTATTCTTAATAAGAATAGAGCAAAGACGAAAAGATAATAAGTTTTTTTTTCATTTGACTTCACTTGATTAATATGGAGATGTTGAATAAATTCTTCTCTTTCTTCAGATGAGTTCTTCTTATTATGAACTTTCCATTGGGGATGATGTTGACCTCTTTCCTTCTATGATAGAGTCATTCAAAATGTTGAATAAGCTCTTCTTATTATGAACTTCCTCTTCTTCAGACGAGTTCTTCTCATTATGAACTTTCTCTGTAAAAGTTGATCTATTAAGTGATGAATTCAAGCAAAAGTTGAACAAGTTCTTCTTATTATGAACTTCTTCTTCCTTCTTCAGATAAATTCTTCTCATTATGAACTCTTTCTGGAAAAGCTAATCCATCAAATGATGAATTCAAGCAAAAGTTGAACAAGTTCTTCTTATTATGAACTTCTTCTTCCTTCTTCAGATGAGTTCTTCTTATTATGAACTCTAACTGGAAAAGCTAATCCATCAAGTGATGGATTTGAGCAAAAGGTTGAACAAATTCTTCTCATTATGAACTTCTTATTCCTTCTTCAGATGAGTTCTTCTCATTATGAACTCAAACTGGAAAAGTTGATCCATCAAGTGATGGATTTGAGCAAAAGGTTGAACAAATTCTTCTCATTATGAACTTCTTCTTCCTTCTTTAGATGAGTTCTTCTCATTATGAACTCGAACTGGAAAAAGTTGATCCATCAAGTGATGGATTTGAGCAAAAGGTTGAACAAATTCTTCTCATTATGAACTTCTTCTTCCTTCTTCAGATGAGTTCTTCTCATTATGAACTCGAACTGGAAAAGTTGATCCATCAAGTGATGGATTTGAGCAAAAGGTTGAACAAATTCTTCTCATTATGAACTTCTTCTTCCTTCTTCAGATGAGTTCTTCTCATTATGAACTCGAACTGGAAAAGTTGATCCATTGAATGATGGATTTAAATCTTTGCTAAAATCTTTGAAATTCCTGTTAAAAATTCAACATGGATGAAAATGAATGAAAATGCACCTATTTTTACAAACACCTAAATATGATGCATGAATGTTAAGTTTATTTGATTTCAGATTGGTGAATTGAGTATTTCTTCAATTGTAAAAACCCAATAAATCTTTCTTCTTCAAAACAGAGAATCTATCATCTTTGACAAATGTAGATGTAGATATAATGTCACAAAACCTCTTGAAAATAAAACTCAATAGTATAGGCTCTTGAAAAGCTTGCCTTCATGCGACATGTTGATTCTGATAACAACTCATCTGATTATGAAATGACCTTTCAAGATGATTTCACAGATATCGATAGTTCTTTTAATACCGAGAAATCTTGAATTCTGATTCTGATGAGGAGAATAAACTGTTATACTTGACAAAAATGGGATTCTCAGAGGCTGAAGCTTCAATAGCCATGGAGAGATGTGGTTCAGATTCATCAATTGCAGAATTGCCAAATTTTATATGTGTTGCTCGAATGGCTAAGGCTGCTGACGCATTTTTCCGGTAAAAGATGGGAAGCCATTATGCAATGATCCCAA